CTCCTTCTTCCTTTTAATGAAATTTTCATTTACAGTAAAGATTAACGAGCCATCAAAGCTAATGTCTTACGTGGGAGAAGGGAGGACAACCAGCACAAATCACAATGGATCCAGAATTTAGGTCTGCATGCACCAGTAAATTTTAGACAATCATCTCTGCTGTCGAAAGAAAAAGAAAAGGATAGGGTCCTTGTGTTTAGCTGATATTGGCCTGCTAGTGAGCTCGAAAGGACGAAAATCTTTGGATCGGCTCCACTTCGCAGCGACGCTGCTTTTCTGGGGGGAGATCATAGATATGCACGAGAGCCACTACAATAGTTTGAAATATAAAGGCCCACGCACCAGAAATCCTCTCTCTCGGCTATCCCTTAAAGTATAACGCCGGGGACAGACCGGAAAGCTTCTCGCATACGATTTCAGCTAAAGTAAAAGGCTAGATTTTGTTACTGGATCATCTCTCTTTTTCTTGTTTTCGTCTTTGAACTTGGTAGTTAAAGTATATGATAAAACAAAACAAAAAAAAGTGTTAGTTAAAGCAAGATACCCTACAGACATAAATTATGGAATTCCTTTAACCAGGAACAGCAGATAATGCTTGCAGTTGAATATTGGCATGAACATTAGATAAGGGACATGCAAAGTCTTATCAATTGTAACCAAACGAAAAAAAAAAATTTGTCATAGATTAAACAATTCAAACATTTTGGGCACATTCACACGGCATTAGTCACAATCCAACTGAATTTACTATGCTTATGAATGACATGCGTCTCCGTATTTCTTTTATATTTCGGTATTTTTACAGTTTTGGTGTAAAGTTTTTTTAAAAAATAATTTTTACTTAAAAATATATTAAAATAATTTTTTAAATTCTTTTAAATCAATACATTAAAATTGCAGAAAACATTAAAAATACATCATTTTGATATTTTTTAAAAGAAAAACTCCTTTAAAAAATATCTAAAAACATAAATATCCTCACTCACTTCTGAACATACCAATATAAAAAGTTGCATCTTTATAAAAGTGATTTGTAAGTTTGATTATGACAAATTACATTAATTTATTTGAAAAATATTGAAATCACAAGGTCCTTTGGTTTTTTTTTTTTAAATATTAAGTATAATCAAGTCTAATGGAAAAGCTCTCTTAAGTGCTTGAGAGAGAATTTCCTCCCATCATATATCATATAGACCATATTAATTCCTCGACTACTCTCTTTTTGTCATTTTCTCCCATTATCTTATTTTTTGTCAAAATAAAAATAAAAATTTCTCCTCTCATTTTAAAAACCTATAAAATTAAGCTGCAATAAAATATTTCTTTAAAAGAATTCAAGGGTTTAAATTGCAATAAACTTTTTAATATATTATGAAATTATAAATATCACTAAAAAAACTACCAAAAATGCTCTTAACACATGGAGAGTTTTTGACACAAAGAGGATGATTGTAATATTTCTTAAATATGAAGAGTTTTTATCATAATTTTAAACTTGAAGATGTTCTATATGATATGATTATGTGTTGAATGATCAATTTCTAATAAATTTAAAGTTAATTATTATGGAAAGTTAGAAGAAGTAGCTGAGCCGCAATATTATAGCGAGCTTAATAAAGTTTTTTTTATTTAAATGTTATTGTTATTGTATCATTGACAGAGAAATCATAATAGATCCCTACAATGGTAGGGTCAAAATTAATACAAAGGTTAGACTTTGTAACATCAACAATGTCTTGTATTATTTTTTTAATTTGCTGAATTTTTTAGGAAACATATAACACTCAATTAAAGGAGAGATATAAAGACAATCATTTGACCCATCCAAAACTTGATCTGAATTTGTAAGTGGAAGCAAGATTATTTGGTGGACTTGATAGAAATTAAGTTGATGATATCTCAAACACTACAACTGGGGATGTATGGACGAGTTATGGTGTATCGACCGTTGGTTCCTTGCAATTACGTTTGAGCTCCCAATCTCCAGTTGTTCATGTGATTGTACAAGAATAAGTTAAAGTTTAGACGACCCAGTTTAGTGATGAGATGAACCAACTTAGGTCCGAGACAACCGAACTTAGGCGATTATATAAGGAGCTATTATCAAACCTTATTGGTACATGTGATATATCTCATCATGATTCTAATGAAAATCTATCTCCTCCTCCGTATATCTCATCATCCACCTGATTCTAATGAAAATCTATCTCCTCCTCCTCTTTTAGCTTCTGTATACTAAATAAATTGTATTTAATAAAATTTTTTAAATTAATAATAAAGCTTTGATTTTTTTTGTTTTATCCTTTTTTATGATTTGATTTTTTTTGTTTTATCCTTTTTTATTTTGTATATGTTTTGTTTATTTTAATTTTTTTAAATATTAAATAAAATATTGATGGAATTATAGATGAAATCTAAATCATAGACCAAATAAGTCCCTTAAAAGGTTCTAGGTAATTGAAAAAAATTATTGAATTTTATCACTAACAATTACAAAAAGAATTATCAATGAACTAAGCCCTTTAAAATATTTTAAAGAGTTCAAAAAAAATAACAGGACTTACCACTTACAATATATGAATATCTGACAAGAAACTACGATGTGTAATATGAACTCGATCACCAATGAAAACCAATGATTTATTCTTTCAGCAATATGTCATATTTATTTATAAAATTACTAATATAATGATATCAATATATTTTTTACATGTTTTTTGTGTTTATAAACCAGTGAATGATGATATTATTGGTGGAATAACAGATAAAAAATTCAATAATTATATATTTTTCAATAAACAGTTATTATTAATGATTTTACTATTAAAATTTTTCCTAATAGAATCAATGTTTGAATAGCGAAAAAACAATCCCTTGATATTATACAATATTGTGGTTGTAATTATTTGACTAAAAATCATTCAATTAATCTTATTTTATAAAAAAACATGCTTACAAAAGGCATAATTACAAAAGCTTTTTTTTTCTTTGAAAAATGTATTCTTTTAGCATTCAATCCCATGCTTACAGAGAGAGAGAGAGAGAGATACCAGGAATACTTAATTGGAAATTTCACATTAAATTAATCCCTCTACACAAGAAATTCTACACCAAATAAAAATTTAAATCTCCAGATTAAAAATGTGCCAATAATTAAACTGCAAGAACAAATCTTATTGAAATCTCAAAAATACGGAAACGAAAACCATGAGCAAATGTTGAATAATTCAAGATGCCAGCAAACTTAATAATTAGGTGAACAGCGACATCGATCCTCCACAAGCTGGAATCCAGCGAAGAGACAAATTGATGGCTAAATATATTTGCGAGGAAATTAAAAAGAAAAAAATTGCAAAAAACCTGTGCTCCCTCGGGCATGGAAGGGGACCCTCAACTACATGAATAAAACAGAACGTCCACTGGACTCCACACTGTCCGAACATCGAAAATTAACACAGATACAAAAGCCCTAAAAGGCCAGTTAATAAATCGAAAGCACTCACTCACCAACCGCGAAAGCAAATACATTAAGAGATTCTAATACTCTGTCCTGATGTGGCACCTCACCATGTAACGAGAGGGAAGAAAATACGCGCTTTCATGAAAAGGAGAGAAATTAATCATTGAGTTTCTTTTTCTTTATTATCTCATGCCCTGTATGAATTAGGATAAAACCTCAGTTACTTCGCTGCTGATATGAATAGTAGTATAGTACTGAAGAGGTAACCCTTTTTTTTTTTTTTAATTCTGTCTTCTATTTTTTTTTTTTTTAAAAAATTCATCTGTTGTTATTTATTAATTTTGAATTTATTTTTATAATTTATTTAAACTTATTTGTTACGAGGTTGTGTAATTTTAAATAAATATCTTAATAGTTAATTAATGTTTAATTTTATAAATATTTATTTTTATCATTATATCATCAAGTAGATAAATAATTTAAAAAAATAAATGTGTTAAATTCAGCAGTGCAGTCAATTATATAAATTACAGGTTTGTGATATTAAGTTATAAAACCTAAATCAATTCAAAATGTTTATATAACAATATTAAAAAAAATATTATCTTGAAATTTTAATTCAAAATGTTTCTATAATAATATTAAAAAAAAATATTATCTTGAAATTCATTTGAAAGCCATATTGTTAATGATCTAGATCGCAGATCTATTTGAAAGTCATATTGTTAATGATCTAGATCGCAGATCTTGTGAGTTGAGTCATGATATCATAATCAATCTAATATAATTTAATATGTTGGAGATTTAATATTTATAAAAGATATTAACTTAATAAAAAAATTAAATTATACTTTTGATATATTTTCTAAATTATTTTTAAATTTATCAAGTTGATTAGATTATGTTAAAATAATTTTTATATAAATTAATTTTAAATTTATACTAAATAAAAAAATAAATTATAAGGTTTTAAAATTAACTTGCTGTATTAGAGTTTGGTAATAATGTAAAACAACATCGTGTCCTAGTTTTTTTTTTAACATTTTTTTTTGTCCAATTTGTAGCTAAGTGGAGTTAGTAAACTAGTTTTCTTCTAAAGTATTTCATTGAAAATTAAGATTATTTGAGACAATATGGAAGAAATAAAATAGAGAAACAGAAGCAGAGAAATTCATAAGAGGAAAGGAATAAAGGAAAAAATACAAGTAAGATGAGAACCAAGATTTTGATTAATTATTGCTGGAAAATATTTGTTATGAGAGTACATGTGTCAAGCCTTCATCCAATCCAATCTCAATTAAGTAATCCCAGATGCTATTATTTTGCCACACAATAAAATCAATGTACTGATCACATGTTCCATAACTGTTAAGATCGATGGAGAACGATCGTGAGATTCTTTTATGATGTGTGACAAATTGAAGAACTGAACAAGTATGTGAAGGAGGAGGACATGCGCTAACGCCTTCCTATGGAGCATGCAACCTTAACAAGAAATCAAGAAAGAGCCATGAAAACATTATCAACTAAAAGCATATTGTTATCTGCCCCACATGCCATTGTACGGTGATTCAAGGGCGGCAGCAGCGGTTTTTTGGAGCTTCAAGTCCTTGTAGAACTTCTTGATAAATTCCTCAGCTGCCTTGTCCACTTGACTGTCTCCTTCATCTTTTAGTGGGAAAGGCGAGTCAGTTATTCTCAACTGCCTCACCATAGGACTCTTTCCAAATCCTGGCAGCGACAATGGTGATGCTTCAACGGCGCTGGCTACCTCAGGATTGTTTAACATTTCAAGCATCTTTTGCACAGCAGCAACAGTGGTGACGTCGTTATACTTGTAAGACTTGGCAAAAAGGTTGAGTTGGTGCTTGCGTTTGTGGGTGTAGAAAGGGTTGAAATTAGCCGGGCTGTTGCTGCAGCTAAACTCGTATTCTCGCGGGGAAATGAAAGAAAGTGCGTCATTGGAGCGGCAACTGAAAGAAGAGTGGTGGTAGTTGTGGAACATGAGGTTGCATATGGCTTTTTCTGCTAGTTTATTACCTCGTTTTAGCATCAAATGGAGATCAACCATTATTCTGCTCTTTGATATGCTCTTTCTTACCATGTAGAATATAACTCGTAATATGTGCCATAATTTCTTGCCCACTTCCGGTGTGCTTGCTGGCTCCATCTCCATGTGAATGTAGAGAGTGACGAGTTTTTTCTTTATTTCCTTTTTTTTTCTTTTCTTTAGGCTGAATGTTTTTTTTTCTTAAGAAGGGGGGGGAGAGAGAGAGAGAGAGAGGGATGATTAGAGAGAAGAGTGAATTCTGGTTTGTCTACGAGGAAGGAATGAGAGGTATTTAAAGGGCTAGAAATTACTATTTAATTAAGGTTAAATCTACGCATGAAGCAAAATAGCATGCACGAGTCCACTCCACCACCATACAATAAAGCGAAATGTTGGGGCAAAAAGCAATAAAATAGCCAATAAAAGTTGCCCTTTAAAGTTTAACCCATTTATATTGCGTTCCTAGTAGTTGGACAAATTTTATTTAATTTTTTTTTATTTTTTTTTATATTTAAATAATTTTAATTAGCTAATATTAAAAATAATTAGTTTAAAAAATATTATTCTAATATATTTTTAAATAAAAATATTTTTTAAAAATAATAATTATCATCATTCATATTTCCCAATGGGAGCGCGACAAAGACACGTGGCAAGAAAGAATAATACATGATAGGGGTCCCATATATTTGTCTCTTATAACACCCGGAAGTCTCCTTCGAGATTGCTGGAAGGCCCCTCCTAGAGAACCAAATTACACAAGCACGCCACAAGAGCTGATTGATGATCGGAGATACGTGGACCGGGCTCACCGGAGATCATTATAACTGGGGTGATATTTCTCAACCATGGCTCCATTTTACAGTCCCTGTTCATTAATTAAATGGCCACCGGACCCCTAATAATATGTTCTCTCAGTCCAACGTTAGATGTTGTGTTTTTTTCATTTTTTTTAAATCAAAATATAATGAGGTTAAAACGTTGTAAAACAAACATCCTTGATTACTTTTTCTATATTTCTGATAATTAGTGCAAGAGGCATTAAAATATTATTCATGAGACTGAGAAAGTATAGGATATAATGGCAAATCCACAGCTACAACCACCACAAAACTACAAGCCTAACCAGTATAGGCTCAAAATTATATGTGAAAGTTAGGGTTAGAGCTCACCAATATCCTTGGATTGGTCAAATTTGGTTGTTGACTTTGTTGCTGATTTGATACCACTTGTTGGAGCTTTATTTATTCATCTTAACTTAAATAATACCAGTAGTGCGAGAGTTAGGAGAATCAACATGGAAACTTTTGATTACGAGTGTGTTAGAAAATCATAATTGGACCCAAGATTATAGATAGATTTCTTCAGCAAATCCACGCTTTCTTTCTATGAGTTGATGAAAGCGTTTAACGAAAGGAGATTGTGTCCACTGTTGAACCACAGAGTTAATCATGATTAGTTCTAATTTGGAAATAATGATTTTATCATCTTATAAAGTATAAAGATCTAAATGACGATGTTTAGGGTTTAATTAAAAGAAATATGTAAAATTATTTTTATATGAATTAAGTAATTATGTTAATTAAACCCGTTGTGCTAGTGGAAGATGTTATATCAATCAATATGAAGATTTTAAATATAAATAAATATTCTTTCAATTTTATTTATTAGAATAGTAGGGATTATTTTATTTTTTAAAATCTTATTTGGTAATTATTTTTGTTAGAAACTAAAAGAAGAGGAATTTGTTATGGATGTACACATTTTTTTATACGGATGGTCTGCTTGAATCTAATGATGTATACTTTAATCTTGATACTGTCAACAGAAAAGATTAAAAAACAAAAAAAGGGAAAAAACATAGAGCATCTACGGGGTCATAAAAAAAAAAAAAAGGGAGAAAACATAGAGCATCTACGGGGTCCTCCTGTGGAGTCAAATGAGCCCACAGGATGGAACTTGACCAGCAAGCGCAGCTCACTCGACCATTATGCGAGTGGGTGATAGGTCTGTGTTCCATGGAGACGAGCCAGCCGGACAAGGTTGACAGGAATGAAATAATACCACCTACTCTGGACACGTGGCACTCAAGATGAGGTCCAAATGAATCTCTTGCCGTGTACGGCTGGTTGCGCCCTTGTGTAAACCCATCTTGGCCATTGATTGAGTGATTGAACAGGACGATCAGGGGATCCTTCTTAACACAGTTCAACAAGTGATAATAATTGGTAAATTACGGAGTCCCTCAAGTCTTAGCTACAGCAGTCTTAGCTCCTTTACTATATATAACTTTGGGCGTGCCAATCTGTACAATTTCAATCGTCACCACACATCATATCCCTTCATCCACTTCCATGGCTACATGTGATAACGAAGAAACATCTAGTGGAGATGAAATACAGCACCAAAAACCATAGGTGAATGGCGGAGTTGATAAAGTGAATGGAAATTAAAAGGGATATTTTCTATGTAATTTTCAATTTGATTTTTTTATTTGTTAATATTAATAATCATGAATGGTAAAATGCAAATCTTATTTCGCAAGTTTTGTTAAGAGGATGTGTGCGAGTGCTTTTTGTCAAGAGTTTAATATGCTAACAAGTTTGAAGAGATATCTAACGAGTAAATTAATGTTCATGAACATTCAAAGGGTCTCTTAATTTATTATGTATTACCATGGAGACAAGTGAATGTTAATTATTATCTATTTAAAATCTTTTACTTGAGTTTTTAGATTTGCAACCTAGTGATTTTGTAAAGAATTTCCTACTTCTACACTCTAGGTTCAAATCTTTATATGGATATCTATCTCTTTTATGATGTCTTACTTATCTATTGAATTTACAAGATATTTAATGAATTTAAAAATTAATTATAATATATATAAACTGGTCTAGATATACAAAATTATCAAAACAAAACCACAATTAATTAACTAAAATATAAATATTTATCGTAAAGGCTAAACAATATAATAAATTAACCTTTTGGAGAGTTAGTGAAGATATATACAAACCTTGAAAGTAATTATTTTTCTTCTCAATGTTAATCCCATAACCTAGATTTACATCAATAGAATTTCAGTTCATTGACAATATTTAAAGATTACCTCTATTATAAATGGAAGGAGGCCGACCTAAATCAATAAAAGACTACAAGATATTTAGCTCATGCATGTTACAATCAATGTAGGAAACTAGCATATGTCAAGTTAACATCCGAATCGGCGTGGAGTCTTCCTAATCAAGTTATAAATAGCAAGAGACGGTTCCCATTCAAAAAAGAAAAAACTTTCATGAGAATAATTATGGGTAAATACATGAAATGGGAATATACTAAAATGATAAGTAAGATTATTTGTTTTATTTTGTAAATACATAGCAAGATAGTCTTCTTAAAACTTATCTGCAAAAAATATATATACATATTGATATGAACAGCCATATCTCCTTAGCACGGGGAATATGAGCTTTTATAAGCAGAACACTAGCAAATAACGTTTTCCTACCAAAATTGTGCAGGAACTCATCATAAGTTCGTAACAATGGACTAACATCATTAATACAGGAACGGACATGCCGAGTGCTAGTGCTTTGAAATTTGATGGTCTAGTGGTGCAAATGAACATGCATATATCCTTCTCCTTTCTCACCTTCTCCTTCAGCTCATTATTTATGACAATGATAGCAGGAAGCCACCCTGTTTGTCGGGCCAATTGATGTCTACAAACAAGGACCCAGAAAAAAAATGAAAGGTAAAGAAAAAACTGTGTGGTGTCCATTGCTTCTAGAAGTTCCTTCCCCCTGGCTAAATTAAGTTGCGCACCATTTTTCACTTCTGAAATGGTGTGTTAAAGAGGCTTTTTGATGGGCCATTTAGCCTAAAAGCGAAGGAAAATTTGCATGCAAGTGCTGTCATGTAGGAGTCCTTGGCCGGAGGGATCCAGCGCCACCTGTCAAGATTAGGGTTGTTGTAATTGCTGTACCGGAATGGGTCGATTTGATTGACAAATACAAATTTGGCAGCTTATGATTTAACACGATGTAACATAGAAATCTCCAAGGTTCAAATCAATGAAAGTTTCAATAATTCTCCCAGTTAATGTAAATTAAGAGGAAAAAAAATACAGAATAATTTTGGAAAATAAGTTTGGAGGGAGGTAACTTGATAAGCAGTTAATGGAGGCAGCCAACCTAAAAGAAAATTGTCGATCAACAATGTTGACTGAAACATAGAGGAAGTTGCCCCTCTTTCCTCGAGGTCCCTTTCACAAATAACATTTCACGTTATTATAATGTAGAATTAATAATTAATGCGATTCATCATTCGTTAATTTGCCCCTAAAATAATAAACCAAGAGTTGCTTAATGAAGAAGAAATATAGAGGACGGAAAGGAGATCGCAAAATGAAGAAGGTGAAGCAACATATTAATGGTCCAGCCCTAGCTTGGTCAAACTCTCTCTGCAAATCCTGTAGCTGTTCTTGTTGGTGTGCTGCTTTAGCTACCAGATGCACCAAAAGTAAGCAGAAAAGAAAACCATTTGCGCAGATATCAAGGTTGAATCTTAGATTTTGATTAGCCAACCATTCGCTTTTTCATGCTTTATCTTTCAAGTATTTTCAAGCTAAAATATTTTAAAAAATAGTTATTATTATATTCTCAAATTCCTTTTAAATGAATTATATATATATTCGTCAATTTATTGATTGAGGGCATTGAATCACAGAATGAGAGTTTACCTCTCGTCACTTTCAATATCCATCTTTTATTTCACTCAGAAGAATGCTTAATGGAGTAACTTCTATCAGTCAAGACAATAAACAAAGTGAAAAGGGAGTTAAATAGCATATATTTGAATCCATTTTTTTGCAAGAAAAGGGCGAGCTGGTGAGGCCCCATCAGCATCAATGGAGCACTGTAAGTTAACTTCTTTTGATAAATCATACGGAGTGCTCGCTTTTTAGGTTTTGCTTTAACGAAGTTTGTCTCGTTCCAGCATGGAACTATTTTTGTTGGGCCATGTTTAAACAGACGGACGAGGGGATCCTAGATAGGTGACCAGAGGTAACGGAGGACTGCATCCCAGCCTCTGCAACATCCTATGCTAATTGATAGTTA